CCCCCCCCCCCGGAGGCTATATGTTTCCCATTGAGAATGGCTGCTCTAGATGATGTTCCAAGAGGTTTCCTCAGGAGCAGCTCAAGGGAATGGCGGGATAACTGTTATGCACGGGAGCATGCATACTGCAAGGGCTAATCTAATAGGCTTCTGTGGCCTCCGGAATATTCTGAGAGTTTTGTGCAAGCACAGAAACAACCCACATGTCTGATTTACAGTATTCACAAAGCAAAAGAATATTTTACAAGTAGTGGGTTACTTGTTCTCTGGTGCTGTTTGAAACTAACATGGCCTATGTTGGCTAAGCTAGTAGTAAAAGAAGAAAGAGGACTCAGAAAAACAGTGTTTCAGGAAAAACAGCTGACAGAGAAAGTGTCATTCACCGCCCCAATTTTGGCTCCTCTAGCCTCAGCCCTATCTGCCTGCCTACTTAGCCAAACTCTCCCTTACAGTAAAGCAGTGGGTCCCAGGTTCTCAGTCTCCTCCTTTTGCCTGACTGGTTGCTTACGGGCTATCCTATGATTGGCTGAGATGTCTTTAGGATGGTGGTTAAGATCCCTGGGCAAACTACCACTCCCAGAAACCCCAGCCAGCACAGCTAGTGGGTGAAGTCTTCTGGGAGTTGCAGTCCAAGAACACCTGGGCTACTCAAGGTTGGGAACAACTGCTTTAGGAGGCTGTTCAATTCACTGTCACAAGGTAAGGCAAGCCTTGCCACTATATGTAACTGTATTTATTCCTTCTTGGTTACTTGTTGAAACATCTGCCCACCTTCTGTACAGTATATCATTGCCAACAACCTAGTAATTCTGACAGCAGAAAATAGGGTTGGTTTTTCAAAGAGATGAAAATGATCTGAAAGAGAGGAAGTGCTTATATTGTGTCTGCTCATTCAATGGTCGCATCTGTGAAACAGCTTCTATGGGATGCAAGGAGTCTCTTATTATTTCAAAGCCCTGCAGGACATTTTTGATGAGCGAGACAAGAGAAATGTTTGCACAGGATTCAACAAAGCCATTCTCAACCACCAACAGCAATTTTAAAAATAATGATTATCCCCAACTCATATCAATTCTGGCATTAGTGTGCTTTTCAAAGTCATCAATCTCTAGTGTTTATCTGCAAAAAAGTCCTTTAAATCAATAGTTACATAAAACAGAAGCACAGCAAGTATACCATGAGATTATAGAATTTGCTTCCCAAATCCCTGACTAGAGAGAAAACGCACACCAAACAACAGCCACAACAAAACCAGCTTCCAATACCACTGAGACAGCCAGCAGAACTATTTGTGATGGATGCCAGTACAAAACGCTTGCATCCACAGGACTATAATTTGTAGTCTCCAGGAAATATTTAGGGTGGCATTGCCCCATTATGTTTTTCAATTACTTTAATGCATGACACAAACGCACACACACACACACACCCAAAAGCCCAAACAATGGCATTTTTGAAATAAGGCCAATAGTCATCTGAGCCAAATATAGAGGTAACTGTTATGTGAGCACTTACTCAGCATTTAAGACAGGGTCGAGCACGATAGCATGCAATAATGGAAAATATGATATTGAGAGGGCATCACCATGAATTTTCTAAGTATGCAATCAACCTAATCATTTAAAAAATTGAGTCAGCATCTGCTCACAGGGAAAAAGCCCATGCCTGCAGAGGGCACTGAGAATCAGAGCATTCCAAAATGTATGAAATTTAGTCCTAGGTTCCTAAAGGAGAAATTGGCAGCATGGATTATTACAGGAGCAGAACAGGACAATTTGGGAGCTTAGAGCAGCACACTGGTTGGCCAAACTGCTGTACCTCCTGAGGGAACAGCATTAAATGCACTACAGGACCCACAAGCCAAAAGTCATGTCCCCCCCTTTATAGCCCAGGCTTATTCTTAATTGTGCATTTCACTGACCTAGCTGCTCGACTTCCTCCTGTACATATATACAACTCTGACTAAACAAACATTAAACAAGTCTCTCTGATTATGTCATACAACATAGATTCCACCTTCAAAAGAGCATGTAGACACATGTAAATATGCATGTGGACATATGCTATTTTGTCTGACACCACATCTACAAGTCAAGCACCATTTCCTCTCCTGAGGTGGCATCAAAGCACCTCTCCACTGAAACAATATCTCTGCTGGAAAAAAATAATATCCCTGAAATGCCTCCCAGCAGTTAAAACCCTCAGAATTGTAGAACTGAAAGGGACATGAAAGTCCCTCTCATCCACTTCCCTGTCAGTGAGGGAAACACACAATAAGAATACTACTAATCAATTTCCACTTAACAGGATCAGAAGATGATGTTATCAAATGATCTCATCACACATTAATGCCTGGTGAGCAATGCCTGGGCAGGAGACTGCTGGGAATCTGCTGGGATCCCTGGACATAAACTAGCCATGGTTTACCATGAAGGGAAACTGCTCAGCAGATGCTGAAAATGATTAATGTTTTATGTATTCTTGAAGGCTTTCACAGTCGGGATCTAATGGTTGTTCTGGGTTTTTCAGGCTCCTTGGCCATGTTCTGAAGGTTGTTCTTCCTGACGTTTTGCCAGTATCTGTGGCCAGCATCTTCAGAGGACAGGAGTAGGAACAGGCCTACTGTTTTTCTGTTAAAAGGTCCAGCTGGGAACCTGTCCACAGCTGAATTTCTACCCCATCTCCAATAATCAAGTAGTTCTGAAGGTTAACAAAAATAGGATTGGTTTTTCAGAGAGATGAAAGTGATCTGAAAGAGAAGTGTTTATGGTGTGTGACATTTGCATCTATGAAGTGTATTTATTTATTTAAAATATTTTAACCCACCTTTCTCCTTAAAAAGGACCCAAGGCAGATTATGAAAAGACAGCATTTAAGTTTGTAACAATGAGTATACAGTACTAAGAGGACCAATGAATACAATACCATGGAGTAAGGTACAATTATCCATTTAAAAAAAAAAAACCAGTTGGAAGCAAGTTACTCAGGGAAAGCTTGCCTGAAGAAAAAGGTCCTTGCCTGCTTGCAGAAACAGAGCTGAGGAAGTGTTTAATTTGGCAATATCCTTATTGATACTGCCAAATTAAACACTTCTCTTCAAGAAAGAAGGCTTGATTTGGTTTGTCTCCAGTGATTGCAAGTACTGGAAATGAACCAAAACAGAGCAATTCTACTCATACCAAAAAAAGCTACAGGCCGCAACACTCTTGGTGACAGGCTGGTGCACCCTAACAGATATGTTATCTGATTGCCATCTTTAGAAGTAAACTAACCCATCCCTGCAGAGGGCCAAACAGCATGCCAAATACCTGCATAGTCACCCTTTGAACCTACTCAATTGCCTTTTATTGTAGGACGCAGGATACATGCCAGGAAGAAATCTAATGGTGAGGTAGCTCAGGATCTAACCTGTGCCAATGACTGTTAAAAACAAGCTTCCTTTCCTCACATCTCATTTCACTCCACACAGAGGTTTTCCTCCTTCACCACCACACTCAATAAAAACTAATGCTGTGCCTTTGTCATTTTGCATAAATTCCTACAGGGACAGAGGAAAATGAAACTGAGAAGCAAAACTTGGTAACTTGGTCATGGGCCAAAACTCTGTTGGTTACCTTAAGTCAAATGATAACTTAGTCAATTCCTCCTAGTAAACAAAACTAACCAAGTCACTGTGCAACACCCACCTACCCAAGAATCATAGCAGGGATGTTTTGTATACCAGGGCATAACAGATGATTTTGCTAACATTAGCAATACAATTCCATGACCTCCATGGATACGGAGGGCAATTTTACCCTGTAGAGTCTTTTTTTCCAACCTGCAAAGGAATTAATGGGCCTGTTAATACCTATCAAGGCAGGGGGGAAAGCTTGCCAAATAGGTACTATTTTTCAGAGCTGTCACGTTGACTCTGTAAGCCCTNNNNCCCCCCCCCCCCCCCCGAAAGGGAGCTTTGGAAAAATTGCCATCTCTGGATAAGTAAAATATGTTGCCCGGAGAGCTAAACAAAGCTTGTGGATATGATAGCTAGAAGACTGGGCAGAAAGAATCCATTCACATTTCTGTCCACCTGTGAATATGCTGAAGTTTATTTCTGCATTTATCTCATCTTTCAACCACATATAGGTGATCCAGTGGAACTTGCTAAATATAATTAAAAGACTCCATCACTATAAAATCAGGAAGAAGCAAAGCACAACTCCATTAAGCAAAAATAAAATGCACAAGTAGTATTGCTGAATGACAGCAAGAGTCACGAGAACATCACCACAAGGTTTTAATTGGCCCTGAAACAGGCACCCACCCGACAAATACACTTGAAGAATTTATTCCAAAATCTAGATGCCATCACAGAAAAGGTTCTGTCTCTGTTCACTGCTGACTTTATATTTGCAAGATATGCGTCTGCCTCAGGAGGAGCAGCAAATGTGCCCCAGCCATCCAAAATTGAGCTGCAGAGCATTTAAGGTCAGCCAAGCTATTCTGGTGGCAACAATAAACAAAGTGTGTATAAATTTCCTGCCTCTTTCTGGTGTCCTAAATCAGGTGCCTGAGGTAGCCACCTCACTCCACCTAAGGGTAGGGCCAGCGATGCACTTCTGACTGAGGGTGTGCCTCAACCAAAGATCTTGACAACCAGACAAGTTCACAGGGAAGCAGATGGTTGTTGAGAGAGTCCGACGAATGAGAGCTTTCAAGGTCAAATTCAACACTGAATTGTGCCTAGAAACCAATAGGCAGCTTGACAGCCAGCCAGAGTACATCTTTAAGAATCCTTACTAGAGATAGGAGTATTCATATTTGTATACAAATACCCCCATCCCACAGGTACAGATAGCAAATGTTCGGCCCCCTGGGGCCAGACTGACCACTCACGATTCCACCACTGCCGCCGGCTCTGCAGAGCCTTCCTATCGCTCTGTTGCTCGTGATAGATTAGCCACTCCTGGCAGAAGGCAGGATGACGAGCCTCTCTGCCAGGTTACAGACTTGGTGATCCATCGCGAGCAATGGAGCGATAAGAAGGCTCCGTGAAGCCGGCAGCAGCGACGCAATCATGAGTGGTCGGTCTGGCCCCAGGGGGCTGAACATTTGTTATCTGTACCTGTGGGGGGGGTATACATATTCGTATACAAATACTCCCATCTCTAGTCCTTACTAATACTGTAGCCTGGTTGCTTCATTCTTGCAGGAGAAATGTGTTCATACATTCTTGCATGAACACATTTCTGACTTGATTATAATGTGTTGCAGCAATTTCACATGTGTGTGTGTTAAAATGTCACCTTCTCTCAGTTTCAGTTGATGCAAAATAAAGTCTTGATGTCCTACATTCTTGAAAGGGAGACCCAGACATTCCAGGATAACAAATATGGTGTGACGAAAGAGATCTCCCCTACATTAACCCAGATTCATAATGCCACTAGCTTCACAACGAGGACTCTTACTGTTAGACATAACATGAGAAGGAGTCCACGGAGTGAGGAGAAATTGATGCATACAAGGTGCTTCCAAGATCAAATTCAAATAAGCCATCCAATCTCTCACACGCTATGATTCCACACCTCTCCCCCTGCAAGTTTTCTACTTGTGAGTGTAAATAAACTACACAACTTCAAAAGCAGAACTTCAGGATGCAATCCATCATGCTCCTTATTCATCATTCTTGGGCACCAAGTGAGAGAAGACATCATTTTCTTACATGGGCAACAGCCAAGTGCAGCCATGAGCACCTGCCTGCCAATGCTGCTTTTCAGCCAGCTCACACCTTGTCTGTATTGTAGCTTCAAAGGCAAGCATCTCAAAAGCAAGGAACTGCAAAAGTAAATTATCACTTCCCAAATCACTCCTGATACTGAGGGACAAATCATACATTACAGATTGCCTATCATTAGATGATGAGAAATCCTATGGTATTCCAGAGATATTATTCTGGCAGATCTTCATGACTCAGCAATCATATTTGTGAAAGATGCCTGAGTTCACCTCCCAAAGACCAACTGTAAAACCAAATCAGCTAACTTGCAAATCATGGGCAGTTTGGAAGAGTCTAAGTGTGACAATTAGATGTTTTCAGCACTTCAGGAATTCCACACTCTAATCTATATCTGTAATGTACAATTTGGCCTTCAATTAACACCTAAACACAAGAATTAGCAATAGCTAGACAGAGAGTTGCTCCAGATCTTGGACAAAGAGGGTGAATCCAGACCAATGGTTGGCCATTGGTTTGATGTCAGGTTTTCCATAGTACTTTAGATTTTCACAGACACACCTCTCTCTAAATGAACATAAGACTTCAAACAGAACAACAGTCCTACCATCATCATTCTCATTAAATGCCGGTGGCTTGCTGGAGGTGTTAGCGCCCATCTTGGAAGTGGCTGGAAGCTCTGCACTTACATCATCCTTTACCATAAACTAATAAGCTGGCAGATTTGCAGACCTTTCTTCCTGTGGACCTTGGAAGGAAAAGGAAAAGAGAGAGGGAGAAAAGAGTAAAAGAAAGAAGTATCAGTCCCATAGCAGCCTTCAAATTCCTCAGACTTTGTCAAATGTTAACCTAAGATAAATGGGAGAACAGAGTCTTTTTGGTCAGCCTACCGTTTGCAAGATCAGCTCTGCCTCTTCATAACGTTTAACATCTATTTCAATCCGGCTTCAGATCCGTTTATCAGAGAAATACAACACTGGCTGCCTGGGAGGATGACCTATGCTGGGAAATGGGCAGAGGGAGTGTGTCCACGTGGGTTGTGATGGACCTCTTGGTAGTTTTTTTCTATTATCAGCCATGGTATCTTTCTGGGCGACCTTTCCAGTATGAGGCTTAATGGCAGTGTTTTACAGTGGCTCAGGTCTTTTTGGAGGGGCAAAGTCCGGAAAGTGGTGTTGGGGGTCCTTATCTGACACTCTGGTCTTTGGCCCATGGGATTCTTCAAGGTTCTGTCCTTTCCTTTTCAACATCCATGTGAAACCACTGGGAGACATTATCTGGAGTATGTGGGTTCAGCGCCATCAGTATATTGATGACATCCAGCTGATTTCTCCTTTCCATCTAAATCTGAAGAGACTATCTTGGTATTAAACCAATCATTTTATTTCTTTGCTGTGCATTTAAATGGCCTTTAAATTGCTTTAATTCAGTTCTTCCTTTTGATATAACTTATTTAAATGCATTTTAATAATATAGTTCATTTTTTTACAATACATATTTCAGTTCATGGTATGAACTGTCACAGGCCTTGCACTGGGAGAAAACTGTTTTTAAAATACATAGGTAAAGGTTCCCCTTGATATTTAGTCCAGTTGTGTCCAACTCTAGGGCACGGTGCTCATCCTTGTCTCCAAGCCGTAGAGGCAGCAATTGTCCGTAGACAGTTTCCGTGGTCACGTGGCCAGGGCGACTAGACACGGAACACCGTTACTTTCCCACTGTGGTGGTACCTATTTATCTACTCGCATTTGCATGCTTTCGAACTGCTAGGTTGGCGAGGACCTGGGACAAAGCGACGGGAGCTCACTCCGTCATGTGGATTTGATCTTACGACTGCTTGGTCTTCTGACCTTGCAGCACAGAAGTTTCTGCGGTTTAACCCGCAGAGCCACCATGTCCTCATTTAAAATACATACCTACATCAAAATAATGTTTCTGCCACTGTCTCCTCTTGCCCTCTGTTTCAAAACAGACAATTTCTGTTTTCTAATTTTCACTTCTAATGGGCAGCACTTCCACTTTGCTTTGAAAATCTGCATTCTGCTTGTACCAAAACGTAAGGAGATGGACTGCTTTTATTCTGTTTCGAAAACATTGGCTCAAGTAGTCTCAAAGCCAGAACTGGCTGGAAAGGAAACACTTCATTTAAAAGAAAGAATGTTAAGCTTTCTCATTAATAATATGACTATCCCCAAGAACAAAAACCACACAGGCAAATCCACAAATTTTGTACACAAAGGCCAGGAACCTGCTCAGAGCATAAGCAGGCAGAGCTGCAACTGCAGAAGCTGCTGCAGCAGTCAGACCAGCCGCACAACCAGCACCTTGACAAACCCACTATGGCAGTTTCCATAGTTGGAGCTCTGTGTGCTTGAGTACTGACCAAAATGCTGACCAAAGAGTTTGCTCTAGCTTTGACTCGCCATCATGAATCACCCAACAGCCAGTAAACACCTTTTTGGAGAGGCTTATGCACAAGCAATGCATAATCATGTCAGTTATTTTCACTGTGACAGCTTGATTCATTGCATCTTCTGCAGGCTGCAGGATTGTGTGTTCCTGCGTTTGGAGGCAATAATGGAATTTCAAATACTTATGTATAAATTTAATTAATATGGTCCTGACCTTGCATATGTATACTGTAACTGGAAATGATTAAAGACTGGCTCAAAAGGAGAATGAAAAGTTCCTTCTGCCCACACATATGAGCAAGACAAAAGGAAGTGCCTTTCTTCTCCAGAGGGAGAAGGATATGCCCCCTATTGCTATTTAGAGATGGGGAAGATGTACACAACATCTAATGCTACCTTCCAGAGTTTGGGACCTTTTTTGAGTTACAGTTCCCAGAATTCATCACCCAGCAAGGCCAGATGTGGTCTAAAAATGTGACACCGCCAGAGTGAACCTAACAGCAGTACAATTATCAGGCATTAAAACTGATCCAGAAGGGCAAGATATTTTAGTCCTCCATAACCATGGTTAGTGGCTGAATTCACAGGTAATTAGATTTACAAAACTGGCATTTTACTGAAGAGTAGTAAATAGTGTCCCCAGTTTACTGCTACTTCCCATGTACAGATTTTAGCTGTATTCTTTTTTTTTTAATGGACCAAGAGGGTTCGGAGCAAATTTTTCCTAACATTCTACTGCCTTTTGCCAAAGGTGCATTTTTCTGCAATCCCAGCCAATAAATGGGACCAAAAAAAAGAGAGAGAGGGAGAGAGAGAGAGAGAGAGTCTCATGCAACTTTTCAGAAAATCATAATGCCAAGAAGCAGGGGTGGCACAGTCCAGTCATCAGTAGGTTGGCCCCATGTAGGAAATAATTAAATTTCTTCCAAGGCAAACACTAGAAGTACCTCCGAGCTACATCAGAAAAAGTATTTGTTTTCCCAGAATTTATTTCACCATCATTCCACCTTCTGTTTTCTGGCTCCAGGCACCAAAGTTCCAGAGCCCTATGGCACATAGTCTTAGAAATGCAGAACTGGAAGGGATCCTATGGATCATCAAGTCCAGCCCCTCTCAAGATGGCCCAGTGGGGAATTGAACTCCCAACCTTTGGCTCTGCAGCCAGATATCATAAACCGCTGAGCTATCCAGCAGGAAAATGCTCACGGACAGAGGAGGTACCTCCTCCTCATAGATCTTAGAAACAAACTGATCTTCTCAGAGATAAAGCAAAGGGTACAGTATATGGTGAGACAAATTGAAACTAGACTACCAGAAGTCCAACTGTTGATCTAGATTATGCATCTGAACCTTAGCCTCAGTTCGCCTTTGCATGAAGAAGCATCAACATGAAGAGAACACACTTCTTTGAATAAGGCAGGAGGAGACAGCGCAGGAAATCTGCTATAAGGATGATTGCAACAACAAAATAGCCTCTGTCGTTCTCTGTATGTTGGCTGATGCAACCTGCTTCCCTTATGGCCTCTTCCCTCAGCAAACACTGTTTTTTTTTGGGGGGGGGAGAAAAATTGCCCCACAATGCAGATCTTCCTGCAAATACATAGACATGACTTTTTACCTTCAGGGCTTATGTCCCCACCCCACCCCTAATTTGAAGGGGTTCTAAAAACATCTGAAATTGAAAAACAAAAACAATAGCAGCAGCAGCAACAACATGTCATTGCTCCTTAAAGATGGAAAACTGATGTTGACCACTCTTTTTGTGAACACACACAAAACAGAAAGGTGGGAGAGGAAAAGGCGGACTCCAATTCAAAACAAATGTTATTCCCCCCACCCCCAGCTGCAAGTGTTTGGATATGAACTCCACATGCACAAACACTCCTCTTGAGATGGGCCAATATTACATGTGGTTCCCATTGGGGCAGAAAATACCCCAGAAGTCATTCTGTGCAAGTTGTTGTTTTTATCCACTTGGACAAGGGTTAAAAATATATCTGACCCTCACAAGTGGTGAACACATGTCATTCAATGATGACCTTTTTTTACTCTGAAAGTCAAGAAACTTTTCAACTTCCTAGACCTGTTTCCTTTAAAAAAATGAGAGTCCTTAGCTCTGTGAAAGAGACATTGTTAAAAGGATCAGGTGATCAGATTATTGTCAAAAGACTTTTTTTTAACCTGGGAAACTGCTGACAGGGTGGATATTCCTGGTCAAACAGATTGTGTTCATAAATGGCTGGTTCCAATGTTCCTATACACTTCTTGCATTATTTCCCACGTTTGTTTTCCTATTCCTTGGCTTGGCAAATACATGCTTGACATGTTTCTCTTCATCAAGATACAGGGAAAAAAATGGAAGGGGGCATTCTTGGTGTGTAACACGGGCTGGGATAAGGCAACAGGGTTGGGATGTTTTTGTTGTCCTCCCTGTTTTTAATTTGCTTGGAAAACCCTGTGGCAATTTGTTAAATTTCTGATACATTGGTACAACTGACAAGCCACAGAATCTGTACATTAGAAGTCTACTGAATGGAGTCCAGAATAAAATTCTGGAGAACTAAAATGTTTTGTCCTTGTACGCAAGGGCTTCAATATCCACTATAGTCATCAGGTACTCCCTTTCACTTAGGTACAAAGTCCCCACTTACTTGACCTGTTGGTTTCAACACCTTAATGTTACTATCTATGTATACCAATGCTGGCTACACTAGACACTAGACAGTGTCCTCACTGTAAGCTTGGGTCTGAATCCAACTCTGAATCTCAACTTGAGCAGACTCACTGCATCAGTGGGATTTCCTGAATGTTGGTCCACTATTCAGCAAGTGACTCAGAAGTCTGACCAGAAATACCAACTGAAATCAAGGCCCGTTGTACAAGCTTTCAAGCAGTTTGAAGTACACAGAAACGCCCTGGCCAGAAAGAGAACCTAGTTTGTGTGAGATAGCGTCAAAACAGGTACAAAATACGTGAGCCGAATTAAAATTTCTCAGGTATGACAAAGAGACTGAATCTGATATTCAATCCAATTTAAAGTAAACCTACTGAAAGCAAATGAAACTCATTTGTGTCAAGCTGAACCCCTTAATTTCAAAGAGTCAACTCTAAGTAGGACTAATGCTGGACATTGCCCTTGTTCTTATGTGTGGTCAAAATGGAACTGAATTATAGCGACCCTAACAGGGTTTTCAAGGTAAATGAGATATTTAAGGAGTGCCTTTCCCAGTTCCACTCCTCTAGTCAATTTTAATGGCCAAGTGGGCATTTGAACCCTATTCTCCAAAGTCCTACTTTACCAATTACTCCACTTTATCAACTCGATATAGCCCTATAT